ACACTGATTAAATGTTGAAAAATATTCCGCAAATTAATTTGTATAACCGGCGATTTGGCGCTTGTAGGCCTGCCAGTTTACCTACAGTTACATGGCGCTTTCAGAGAAAGGGCCTACTATATTAGCAATCGCGAGCGCATCCGGAAATTTTTAAGAGCGGCATTCGGAATGCAAAGTGAACTTGATATCAAAACCTTCCCAATACACAGTGTGCGAGTAAAATGATCTTGTATGCATGGAATGCAATTATAATGGCAGCAATTTTTTTAAACTGTTGAATTTTCCGGGTATTTACGAACACGACTTTCCACAAGCCCAAGTGCACTCTGAAGCAAACCACCTCTGAAGAAATAAACCATTTGTTTTTAACACCGGCATAAAAGGGCGAAAAACTCAACAGTTTTAATCAATGGTCGCTTCGGTCCAAGCAGCTTTTGATATGCAAAAAGTGCAAACTGGCCGGAGAAGAGAGGAAGTCCGCAACGCATCTCAAGCAGATTTCATTGCATTATTGGTTCAGTTAATATAGAAAAATCTCGTTCAGCTCCAACAGGTTCCCGTTCCGTTCAGGTTCAGTAATTAAATGCAGCACCGAAACAATTCGTTAATGATCGAAGCCAGCCAGTGGCTGTCAAAAAGAAGCTGAAGCTGAAAATTCTAGACGATCCCATTATTCGTCGCCGCCCACCATTCTTAACGTATTTAAATAATTAGCGACGTTTTGACACTAATGCGCAACAAAAGAGCATCTCAAATCTGATAAGGAACCACCATAAACCCATTAACAATATCTGTGTTTGGGATCTTAAAAGGGGTACTCAGCTGGCATAATAGGGAACCACTAACCCGAAACTAGATTGGATGTTCCGAGTGTTCAACCCGCTCGATATAATGCCTTAAAACCAGGGTTGAGAGCCTATTAAGACCGCGCTTAATCCCTTAAAATGATTCCGCAACTTTTTTTTTGGGCAGCTTCTAAGTTTCCTCCAATAATAGACCAACTAGGCAAGTGAGTTGGGAAATATTAAAGTAGATATCATCGGCCCCAAGTTATTTGGCAGTGACGTCATTATTGCGTGGCTGCCAGCTCGACCGTTTGTTCCCGGTGATTTGAAAGGATTTATTTCTGTCCAATCACCTGTTGTTGTTACAGCACGGTTTAATACAGGAAGAACGATGATTATAGCGTCACCGCCAAAACGCTTGGGACCGACTTATGGAAGAAACATTTTTCTCCATGGGATAAAATGGGGGAGTTTTACCAAAAATTGTGCAAACTTTTCAGTTTTTAAGGGCACAAACGCATTCCTCTTTCGAAATCCAGCGATTTCAAACATTAAATTCGCTGCCTTTACATGTGGCCGGACTGAGTTTCTTCCGCTGCCTTTGTATTGAAAATTGCTCAACAAGCAGAATGTCTACATTAAAAAAACTAACTAAACCAAACAAAACGACAACAATTGGCTTAAAAGGGCAGTAAATTTCGGTTGTAATGTTGGTCCAATCGTGTAGGACACTGCTGTTCATCTCAATGTCTTAATATGTGCGTAAAACACAATTTGGTTGGAAAACACGCCTTTGTGGAAAAACGCGCTCGAATGCAGCCTATAGATTCCCAATTCCTCAACGTTTCCCCTCTTAGAGTCTTTAGACAATCAATATGCTTTGCTTCGCTTTTGTGGTACGTTCGAGACATCTAGTTGCATTATCGGAAAGTATCAAAAGTCTCGGCTAGGAACCAACACAGTCCACCCCTAGCGCAGATACAACGCACCCTTAGGGTGGCGAATGCAAACCCACCCTTAAATGACTTTAGAACTCTGCAAAGTTCGGGCAGTTTCCGTGGTAAATCAATGAAGAAACTGGTCATATTTTATTATTTATCTGGCTTATTAATTGTCGCAATTGTGCCTTCGAAATTCACACCAAACACTTGACCTGCCACCCAGCAGTAAACAACTCTTTGGACAATAACAGTGACTATGCACATTCGCCTTAAGGTGGATTTTTTCGCGGTTGTTTCCCATTTCAATAAGCAAAAAAATGGATCGAACTTGATTTTCCCCATCGGCCATTCACCATATTTGCCAGACAGCAGCTCAACGATTCTTGCCTAATAAAAGCCGAATGGTTTAGGCAAAAATTACAATTACTTAGCCTCAGGCC